AAAAAAAAAAAAAAAGAATACAAAAAATAAATTTAAAAAATTTTAAAAAAAAGAAGGTCACAATTCTGGCTACAGGTAAAACCTAATGACCAGTGCAGGTAATGACAAGTGGGGAATGATGTGAGCTTGAGGCATTGAGGAGGGTGCCGTTGAGGTCTGGGAGATATAGGAGGAAACATGGGGAGCGTTTTCAATCCCTGGAAGGTTTGCAGTTCAAACCCATCCAGAGGCACCCTGGATGAAAGACCTGACGATCTGCTTCTGAAAGTTCACAGCCTTGAAAACCCTATGGAGCACAGTTCTACTCTGAATTTCATGGACACACCATGAGTCAGAATAGACTATGTGGCTTCTGGTTTGTTTTTCATTTGTTTTGTTTTGTTTTGTTTTACTCTGTACTAGACATTGTGCTAGGTATTTTACATCACCTTGCATTTTTTTAGTATTTTTTTTTACTTTTTTTGTTTTCATTATGAAATATTTTAAATATATAGAAATATAGGGACAACCATGTGTGTGCCTATTGAGGTTAACTACTGGTAGCATTTTGTCATAGTTATTCCGATCTATTCTACGATTTTTTTTATGTGGGAGCCTTGAAGGGGTTGCTTGGGGGCACTTGGCCAAGGCCCAGATACTAGCAGATGAGCAAGCCAGCAGAAACTCAGAGAGGGTTGCTGCAAAGATGAATTCTGATGTGTTTCTTGTTTTATTTTATTTTTGGCTTTAAAGAACAGAAATATATTTTCTCACAGTTATGGAGGCTAAAAGTCCAAATCAGGTTCTTGGCCATGTTGATTCCTTCTGTGAGCCTCTCTCTTAGTTATCTGGGTCCGCTGGTGATCCTTGGCATTCCTTGGCATTGTCTTCTTCCTGGGTGTGTGTCACTATGTCTACTCTGCACTTTTTACAACTCAGAAGTGATTAGGTGTAGGGCCAACCCTCCTCTGGTATGAACTCATTAGCGTAACAAAAGAAAAGTTCCTCTTTCCAAACAAGATCCCTGGTAGCACAGTGGTTAAGAGCTATGGCTACTAATCAAAAGATCAGCAGTTTAAATCCATGAGCTGCTCCTTGGAAACTCTATGTGGCAGTTCTACTCTGTCCTATAGGTTCACTATCAGTCTGAATCAACTTGACAGCAATGGGTTTTTTTTCAGTGGGGTGCATATTTTGGGGGACACAATTCAATTCATCACAATTCCTAAGACAACTCCATAACATAGGAAGGGCAAGTATTGCTATGCCTGGGAGCAAACTGAGATTACAAAGAGCTAAAATGCTTGCTGAAGGACTGCCTACAGCAAGTAAGTGGAAGAACTGAGTTTAGAATCCCAGTCATTTGACTCTTAACCCAATGCTCTTTCTACTCTGTCCAAACAGAATTTCTAAAATATTTGCTCTGTTTGGATATCAGATACTGAAGGGCTTTGAGCTTGTTTAGAAATTTTGATCTCATGCAGGAAACAATGTGGAGCGACTGGAAGGTTTTGTGCAGAAGAATGACATGTTTAAGTCACTGCCTGAGGGACAAAGACCTGGGTGGTGTAGCGTGTGTTAGTGGAATAGACATCTCGCAACGGTAGGGAGGGAGGTAGAGCCCTTACCATGCTTTCAAACCTGGACTCAGTTTAAATAAATAATCTTTGCTTATTTTTAATTCATTTTTCTTGTTATTGTTCATTCTTATATCAGTGTTAATGTTTGTTTTTAGTTTCGTTGTTAAAAGTAATTTCACTCAAATCTTACAGACATGAATAAAGCTCACAGGTTTTAAATTTTTCTGTTTACATGGATTTTTATCTTTTGTTTAACATTTTATCCAACTGAAATATAAGGTCTATGTAATTTTGTATTCTGTCTCCCGAACTAGTTCACCAAGGATTAGTTTATAACTTTAACTTCTGCTTCATCAACTTAATAGTAGTTTCTAGAGGGGCCTAAGGACCTTTCAGGAGTCCTGGGTGTGGTGGCACAAATGGTTAAACAGTCAACTATTAGCTGAAAAGTTGGTGCTTTGAACCCACCCAGAGGCACCTCGGAAAAACCTGGCAATCTGCTTCAGAAAGGTCACAACCTTGAAAACCCTGTGAAGTACAGTCCTATTCTGCACTCCGCAGTAGCCATGAGTCAGAATCGACTTAATGGACACTTGTTTGGTCTTATGATTTGCGAACATTTCACTGAACTAACATGCCAACCTTCGCTGAACCATTTAGTTTTGGAGGAATATTTTCAGTTACTTTTTGTTTTATCTGCTTTCCCAGTTGCATAAATTTTCTATAAATTGGTTGCTAGAACTAGAAGGTTGACCCAATTCAGTTTCTTTTTGTTTTTCAAGAGCGTGGGAGGAAGACTGCTTCATAGATAATGACAAGTTGTTTCATGCAGAAATATGTAAGGCCTGAAAAGTCTTTTTTATTATTATTATTATGGTAGAAACTGCTGATGCCCAATGTCTAGATCTATCAATTCATTGGGGGTTTGCAAAGTGACAATATTCTAATTTTATCATTCTTCCTTTATTAGCTGGAATACATGTATAAAAGAGTCTTCCCATCTATTATTTGGTTACTTGGTGACAAAATTTGTATTGCAAAGACAGTATAAATGCTTGATTCATTCCCTTTTTTTAACCAGATTTTAAAAAAACAGTAAGGATAATATATTTAGAATATCACAGAATTATTCGTTTTCTTTACCTCTTCTTACACAGCAGTCTCAGAATAATACCAACACGGCCACCAATATTATAATTACTGAAAGATTATTAAAAATTTTCTTTGCAGTCTATTCGTCCATGAGGTTGATTCTTCTAAAGATGTACATACAGTTAAATTACTGGTTTTCCAACAGTCACTCAGAATTGTTTCTCTCTGTGTGGTTATGTGACAAATAAGATATCATTTGCATCTATTTGTTTCATTTTACTATTTTTAAAAATTGGTTTTGTAAAATTCAATTTTATCTTATAATTACCTAGTTGGTTTGAGCTTATAGTGAGCCTATGTACAACAGAATGAAACACTGCCCAGTCCTGTGACATCTTCATGAACCTTGTTATTCTTGAGCCCATTGTTGCAGCCACTGTCAATCCATCTCATTAAGGATCTTACTCTTTTTCACTGACTGTCTATTTTACCAAGCATGATATCCTTCTCCTGGGACTGATCTCTTCTAATAACATGTCCAAAGTATGTGAGATGAATTCTCACTCTCCTTGCCTCCAAGGAGCATTCTGGCTGTACTTCTTCCAAGACAGGTTTCTTCGTTCTTTGGGCAGTCCATGGTATATTCAGTATTCTTCATCAACACCCTAATTCAAAGACGTCAATTCTTCGGTCTTCCTTATTCGTTGCTCACCTTTCGCATGCATATGAGGTGACTGAAAACACCATGGCTTGAGTCAGGCACACCTTAGTCGTTAAAGTGACATTTTTGCTTTTTAACACTTTAAAGAGGTCTTTTGCAGCAGATTTGCCCAATGCGATACCTCATTTGATTTCCTGACTGCTGCTTCCATGGGCATAGATTACAGACCCAAGTAAAATGAATTCCTTGACAACTTCAATCTTTTCTCCGTTTATCATGATGCACTTACTGGTCCAATTGTGAGGATTTTTGTTTTCTTTATGTTGAGGTGTAATCCATACTGAAGGCAGTAGTCTATGATCTTTGCCTAAGTGTTTCAAGTCCTCTTTGCTTTCAGCAAGCAAGGTTTCATCATCTGCATATCCCAGGTTGTTGATGAGTCTTCCGCCAGTCCTGATGATCTGTTCTTCACATAGTTCAGCTTCTCTGATTATTTGCTCAGCATACAGGTTGAGTAAGTATGGTGAAAGGATACAACCCTGATGCACACCTTTCCTGACTTTAAACCATGCACTATCCCCTTGTTCTGTTTGAATGACTGCTTCTTGATCTATGTACAGGTTCCTCATGAGCACAATTAAGTGTTCTGGAATTCCCAGAGTGGGCTGCCAAAAGAATTTCCATATCAAGAACTTTTACCTGGAATACATATGCTGAGAGACTGGGTGCCCTCTTGTTACTTCTGGAACACAGATTTTATGGACAGAGCCAACCAACAGGGTAAATTTAAGGATTTCCTTTTTGTGGTTGTTCTCATTGCTGGTGCTATTCTCTCTCTCTTTTTAATTTTGGCAATTAAATCTAAAATATATTCCTCTTTCGGGAAGCTGAATACTTGAAAATTCAAGTGATAAGAAAGAAAAACTTTAGGTGGAGGTTTGGTGTAGCAGCAACTTTCTTGATTAAAAAAATTCATATGAAATATCCTTTGAATAAAAAGTATTCCTCATGTTCTATAATTTCATGTTGAAACTTTGTATTTTCCTGAACATACTTAAACAAAATGTCATAACTATTAATTTTTTTCTACTCCAGTAGAATTTTAAACCATGAAAACTACTCTCCCCATGGAAACAGAGGAGACCTTTTTGTTAAAACAACTCATCAAAGGAAACTGGTAGTCATATTAAATTTCAGCTTGCAGTGTCAGGGCAAGAAGCAAGAATATGAGACCTTTTTTTTGCCTCAATAGCTTTTTCTTGCCATTTACTATTTTTGCCCTTTCCCCCAGTGGAAAGATATGTTTTTAGCGTCCTTGCTTACAGTTACAAACTGTTTATTATATGAAGTCAAGCAAATAGGAAGAAGTTTATAAAGTACCTCTGCAGGTTATGATAAAGCCAATTTAATGTCAAGGTATCTTATTCTCATTAAAATAAAAAGTAAGGATTGATTTTTACAACCCTGAGAATGTGATTAGTGTCCGTGAAATGATACTTTTTTTATATAAGTCATGATTCTTGGTACCGTTTATCACAGCACACTAATAATTACTAGAAGTTTCACCTGCTTCTTTCTTGCTGTGACTCCACAAGTCTGAGTTTTGAATTCCAAGTCACTTAACTTTTGGTAGTAAGGTGACACTCCAATAACCCCATCACTTCTACATTTCTTTGTTAGAAACTTTGATTTGTATGTGTGTATGTTAATGATATTATGATAGCCTATGAATAGTCTTAAGTATGAGATTTCTTTACTAATCTCTCTAAGGAAGTAAAATGCTGTTCAAAAATGGAATAACCTGTATTACAGAAAATTTGTTTTTTAATCCAAATTAACTTCATGTGGTGCGTCTCAGTAGGAGGGTGCTAGAAAGAACCTACAATAGAATTTGGATTTTGAGTAATTTGGGGGAGAATCTAAAGATATGAGCATTTGCTATTAGAAAGTGAGGGGAATTCTATGATTGAGTATTTGCATAAATCTTATCTACAGTTTTCCAGTTACATTCTATTGGCTTGAACTTAATCAGCAAGTCCACATCTGGCTGGAAGGGTGGCTGGGACATGTAGTATTTACTCTGGCTCCAGCTAAAACACAGGGGTTTAATTACCTAAAGCTGAAACCAAACCAAACCAGTTGCCATCAAGTCGATTTAGACTGATAGTGACCCTATAGAAAAGAGTAGAACTGCCCTGTAGGGTTTCCAAAGAGCAGCTGGTGGACTCAAACTGCTGACCTTTTGGTTACTAGCCAAGCTCTTAACCACTGTGCCACCAGGGCTCCCTAAAGCTGAAAGGGAGAGTGAATATTAGGGGGAAAGGCTTTGCTGTAGCTTTTCATTAGGATAATTGCTGAACCAAGACAAACATTTTGCCTCTTAAAGCCCTTATTATATGAGGACAAATTGTTTTTGGAATGATCTTACCATTCGATACTTCCACGAGTGGTACAGGAGAGAGCCTGACTCATCACATCCATGCCAACCCTGAATACTAAAGTAAATCTTACCAGTTTGATAGGAGGGACAAATATATTCATATTTATGTTACTTAGATAATAGAATGGAGTAGTAAATATTTTCACATATTTGCTGGCCGTTTCTGTTTATTCTTTGTGACTATTCTACGTCCTTTGTCTACTTTTAAATTCACAATCAGCCAGTTATAGCATCATGTAGGGGCAGGGAGTTCTTTTTTTAATAATAAAGATTGAAGACATCCTAGGTTTACAGGAAACCTTATTATGGAGGAAACACCACTGAAAAGTAAATAAATTTTATTTAGTTTTCTTATGATGAGAAACTTAGATTCAAATAGGGTTCTGTCTGGTTGTAGCAGCAAACCAGAAAGAATGGAAAATAGCATCAGCACAATCAACTAGGTTTTTGTAATACCTTGGAAATAATTAAATTACTGGCATTTTAGCCCTTTTAAAAATGGCTCCTCTCTAAGTCAGGGTAATAGTGTGATAGCTGTGCTTCAGATCTGTGTGTGGAGAAAGGTCACCATATGGGTGGCGACAGGCATTTCAAGCTTCTTCACAGTGGTGACAAGAGGAAATGACATAATTAAAACGAGACAATTCTAACAATGATTGCTAGCTCCTGCAATTAAGTGTCACTGTAACTCAGATTATTCTAATTAAAATTTCAGGTTGGACCTGGTATAAATACTCAACATGTTTTCAAAACATACACTTTTACTTTATAGTCAAGCTAATGTTAAGCAGCATATTTTCTGCTTTAATTGTTGTCACAAACAGCATGTGTTTATGCTTTAATTATAGAGATCTGAGCACTGCCAGCCTCCGCTACCTCAGCAGCAGGCAAGCCTTGGCTGACATCGTCAACTTCCGAACTGAAATAGCAAGGAAACGGGAACTCACCAAAAATAAATGGGTTACATTTGGCGGCTCTTATGGTGGTTCCCTTGCAGTGTGGTCTAGAATAAAACATCCCAATCTGTTTGCTGCAGCAGTGGGCAGCTGTGCACCAGTTCAAGCAAAACTTAATTTTTATGGTGAGTATCATCTATATATGGGAATCCTTGGGTGTGGCAAAACGTTAATGCACTCAGCTGATAACTGAAAGGCTGGAGGTTCAAGTCCACACAGAGGCACCTTGGAAGAAATGTCTGGCAATCTGCTTCCAAAAATCAGCCATGATTTTTCTACTCTGACACACACGAAGTCATCATGAGTTGGAATCAACTTCTGGTTTTTATTGTATGTATATATGTGTGTGTGTGTGTGTGTGTGTGTGTGTGTGTAGTATATATATGTAAATATATATATATATATATATATATATATAAAATAAGAAAAGTATCTCTAAGTCAGTGATTACCCTAACAAGCCTGACCTAATAACATAGGGTCTCCCAACTGGACTTAAGTCTACCTCCCTTCCTATATGATAGGGTTCCACGAGAGACTTATATGTTACCTGCAGTTGGTACTTGGTATCTATATTTGCCGCCATATGGTGGGTGATAGCTTCTTAAAAGATGGAAATGATGTGACAAGTCTTAGCTGTTGATTTGATAGTGAAAGAAATCATGATTTAACTATTTCCAAAGAAGTAAATGAAAAGCTCTTATTTTTGAAGTACAGAAATTACTTATATTGAAGTTGCCTTTCAATTTTCCTTCCTACTACCTGACTTTCTCCCACGTGTCTGTCGGTTTGTCGTACTCTGGGAGCTTGCATGTTGCTGTGATTCTGGAAGCTATGCCACTGGTATTCAGATACCAGCAGGGTCACCAATGGCAGACAATTTTCAGCTGAGTTTCCAGACTAAGACAGACTAGGAAGAAGGACCCAGCAGTCTACTTCTGAAAAGAATTAGCCAGTGAAAACCTTACGAATAGCAGCAGAACATTGTCTGATATAGTGCCAGAAGATGAGCCCCCACCACAGGTAGGAAGGTGCTCAAAAGACAACTGGGGAAGAGCAGCCTCCTCAGAGTAGAGTCGACCTTAATGATGTGGATGGAGTCAAGCTTTTGGGACCTTCATTTGCTGATGTGGCAAGACTGAAAATGAGAAGAAACAGCTGCATACATCCATTAACAATCGGAACATGGAATTACGAAGTATGAATCTAGGAAAATTGGAAATCATCAAAAATGAAATGGAATGTATAAACATCGATATCTTAGGCATTAGTGAGCTGAAATGGACTGGTACTGGCCATTTTGAATTGGACAAACATATGGTCTACTATGCCAGGAATGACAACTTGAAGAGGAATGGCGTTGCATTCATCATCAAAAAGAACATTTCAAGATCTATCCTGAAGTACAACACTGTCAGTGATAGAATAATATCTATACGCCTACACGGAAGATCAGTTAATACTACTATTATTCAAATTTATGCACCAATCACTAAGGCCAAAGATGAAGAAATTGAAAATTTTTACCAACTTCTTCAGTCTGAAATTGATCAAACATGCGATCAGGATGCATTGATAATTACTGGTGACTGGAATGCGAAAGTTGGAAACAAAGAATAAGGATCAGTAGTTGGAAAATATGGCCTTGATGATAGAAATGATGCCAGAGATTACATGATAGAATTTTGCAAGACCAATGACTTCCTCATTGCGAATTCCTTTTTTCACCAACACAAACAATGAATATACATGTGGACCTCGCCAGATGGAATACACAGGAATCAAATCGACTACGTATCTGGAAAGAGACAATGGAAAAGCTCAATATGATCAGTCAGAACAAGGTCAGGGGCTGACTGAAGAAGAGACCATCAATTGCTCATATGCAAGTTCAAGCTGAACTGAAGAAAATTAGAACAAGTCCACGAAAGGAAAGTACAACCTTGAGTATATCCCACCTGAATTTAAAGACAATCTCAAGAATAGGTCTGATGCGTTGAACACTAATGACCGAAGACCAGACGAGTTGTGGAATGACATCAAGGACATCATACATGAAGAAAGCAACAGGTCATTAAAAAGACAGGAAAGAAAGAAAAGACCAAAATGGATGTCAGAAGAAACTCTGAAACTTGCTCTGGAACGAGAGTAGCTAAAGCAAAAGGAAGAAATGATGAAGTAAAAGAACTGAACAGAAGATTTCAGAGGGCGACTTGAGAAGACAAAGTAAAGTATTATAATGTGCAAAGAGCTGGAGATAGAAAACCAAAAGGGAAGAACACACTCGGCGTTCCTCAAGCTGAAAGAACTGAACAAAATATTCAAGCCTCGAGTTGCAATAGTGAAGGATTCTATGAGGAAAATATTAAACAATGCAGGAAGCATCAAAAGAAGATGGAAGGAATACACAGAGTCATTATACCAAAAAGACCTGGTTAACGTTCAAACCATTTCAAGAGGTAGCATATGATCAGGAACTGATGGCACTGAAGGAAGAAATCCAGCTGCACTGAAGGCATTGTTGAAAAACAAGGCTGCAGGAATTGATGGAATATCAATTGAGATGTTTCAACAAACTGATGCAGCACTGGAAGTGCTCACTTGTCAATGCCAAGAAATTTGGCAGATAGCTACCTGGCCAACCGACTGGAAGAGATCCATATTTATTCCTATTCCCAAGAAAGGTGATCCAACCAAATGTGGAAATTATCGAACAATATCATTAATATCACACACAAGTAAAATTTTGCTGAAGATCATTCGAAAGTGGCTGCAGGAATATACCTACAGGGAAATGCCAAAAATTCAGGCAGGATTCAGAAGAAGACATGGAACAAGGGATATCATTGCTGACGTCAGATGGATCCTGGCTGAAAGCAGAGAATACCAGAAAGATGTTTATCTGTGTTTTATTGACTATGCAAAGGCATTCGATTGTGTGGATCATAACAAATTATGGTAACATTGCAGAATGGGAATTCCAGAACATTTAATTGTGCTCATGAGGAACCTGTACACAGATCAAAGACAGTTGTTCAGACAGAACAAGGGGATACTGTGTGGTTTAAGTCAGGAAAGGTGTGCGTCAGGGTTGCGTCCTTTCACCATACCTATTCAATCTGTGTGCTGAGCAAATAATCAGAGAAGCTGGACTATATGAAGAAGAAAGGGGCATCAGGATTGGAGGAAGACTCCTTAACAACCTGCAGTATGCAGATGACACCACTTTGCTTGCTGAAAGTGAAGAGAATTTGAAGCACTCACTGGTGAAGATCAAAGACCACAGACTTCAGTAAGGATTACACCTCAACATAAAGAAAACAAAAATCCTCACAACTGGACCAATAAGCAATATCATAATAAATGGAGAAAAGATTGAAGTTGTCAAGGATTTCATTTTACTTGGATCCACAATCAACACCCATGGAAGCAGCAGCTAAGAAATCAAAAGATGCATAGCATTGGGCAAATCTGCTGCAAAAGACCTCTTTAATGTCACCTTCAAGACTAAGCTGCACCTGACCCAAGCCACGGTATTTTCAATCACATCATATGCATGCAAAAGCTGGACAATGTATAAGGAAGATCAAAGAAGAATTGACACCTTTGAATTGTGGTGCTGGTGAAGAATATTGAATATATCATGGACTGCCAAAAGAACCAAAATCTGTCTTGGAAGAAGTACAACCAGGATGTTCCTTAGAAGGAAGGATGGCAAGACTACGTCTCACATACTCTGGACATGTTGTCAGGAGGGATCAGTCCCTGGAGAAGGACATCATGCTTGGTACAGTAGAGGGTCAGCGAAAAACAGGAAGACCCTCAATGAGATGGATTGACACAGTGGCTGCAACAACAGGCTCAAGCATAACAACGATTTTGGGCATGGTGCAGGACCGGGCAGTGTTTCGTTCTGTAGTGCATAGGGTTGCTATGAGTCGGAACCAACTTCACGGTACCTAACAATAACAACAACCTGATTTTATGATAAAGCATTTATAATTAACGGCCTTAGGATTTTTCCAGGTAGACAAACACTTGTGACTGGCAATTTGGGCCTCTGAATACATGTTCCCATTAAAATGTGTAAAGTATAAAATTTTTACTTAATTAAGTTTTTCTTTTAAAAACAAAACTATCCCCCCTCCCAAAAAAAAAAGATAAATTTTGGGTAAATTTTCCTTTAATATTTGAACTTTTCAAAGGTAAGCAAATATTCATTCATCATTCCAGTTCAGCTGCCTGTAGCTTTGATAGAATCTTATCTAGGCCAATAAATCTGAAAGCTGTAACACTGAGGCATTTTTCTCCCTTTCTTTTTTAAGGAGTAAAACCGTTTTTAGTTCATGAATGCATCAGGATTTTCAGAGTATGGTTATCAGTCATTGTTTACTACTGATTTTACTTGGCATTCTGGCAAATCTTTTAATTTTATAGTTTCTTAACTTTGTTATATTATAAAAAGGAAGTAATTGCAAACTTGAAAAAATTATATCTGATAAATGGCTACAATTAAACCATACTAAATGTACTTTTTTTTTTCTTTTTCATGTTCTTAGAGTACTATGAAGTAGTTGGAAGGATTCCATCTGCTCATAACAGCAAATGTCCCAAAGCAGTCAAAGAAGCTTTTGATATTCTCGTGCAGATGCTGAAACTTCCAGAAAACTGCAGTAAGCTTACAGACAATTTCATGTAAGTGGGTTGATTTGTGTGTGAGAGGGTCTCTGCCTAAATACAGTCTGGTATTTACTTGAATTTACACCATTAATGTCATTTTCTTACATTAAGGCTACTTACCTGAAAAGAAAGGGAGATTCTTAACAGTTTAGTTCTTTTTGGATATTATTTATATCAGCAATTACTACATTATTATAAGAGGCATGGCTGGGACCTCTGTGGATGTTTTTAAGTCCAGTGGGAGTGCAGATCAGAGGGCAGGAAAGAGTGGGTCCCACCCTTGGGGTCCTAGGGCAGTCAAGGGGCATGCTGAAACACTTACCCCTGGAGAAGAGGGGGCAACCAAAGAGGAGAGGAGGCCCTGAGGACAAATCTTGCCATTTCCATGAACCAAAGAATAGTGGTTTTCCACACGGTTTGGACTATTAAAACATAGTGTGGTACTGGAGCATTTCAGAAACCGAACAACAGTGTTTTTATGTTTGGATTTTTTTCCCCATTGAATAAGGCAGCCTTTGCTGTTTAAGATCTAGACTAGAGATTTCCATGGTAGTGGAGGATGTTCTTTTTTGAAAGTAGGAGAATCCCCCGGAAAGTGAATTTGGGAAAAGTAGATAAGCTATAAATGAAGCATAAGAAATTTTGACATTTGCCTTTACCTTGAGGAATGGAATAAGATGCAGTGGGAGAGAAGCATTCAAAGGCATCACGTGTTTTACTCTTAACGGTACTTAGGTTACAGGTGGAAAAAGGAGACAGTGAACACCTAAAGATTAATATCATACCAGGCCAAGTATTGAAGAATGGGTGAGGGGAAGTTCTGGAACCTTCAGAGAATTTGATGGGAGGAATCACAATTTTGCTTGAAGGTCTCATATTAACCGTGTTGTTGTTGTTAGCTGCTGTTGACTCATGTCGACCCTGTGCACAACCAAACACAATGCTGATCTTTCCTGTGCCATCCCATGACTGGATGCAAATTGGACAGTTGTGATCCATAGGGTTTTCATAACCACACTCACCTTCTTTAGCTTCCCAGGTGCTAAATTACGATGTTGATAAAGCTCACCAGCAGGGAGAGCCATCACCTTAAAGTTCCCTTCTGTGGATTATAAAAACCATCTGATAGTTAACAGTCAAATCAAAAGCTTTTATGTTTCTGCAGATTTATTGTTCTGTTGTTATTGCCAGTGGGCTTCAAATTGATTCGACTCATAGAGACCCCATATATGCAGGATAGAACTGCTGCATAGGGTCTTCAAGGCTGTGAACATAAGTTAACAAAATAATTTAGGTCTCTTGGTTGTGGCCTTCAGTATGGATTATACCTTAACATAAAGGGTATATAAATCTTCACAATTGGATCAATAAGCAACATCATGATAAATGGAGAAAATATTTAAATTGGCAAAGTTGTCATGTTACTTGGCTCCACAATCAATGCCCACAGAAGCAGCAGTCAAGAAATTCAACAACATATTGCATTGGGAAAACCTGCTGCAAAAGACCTCTTCAAAGGATTGGAAAGCAAAGATGTCACATTGAGGAATATGGTGCACCTGAACCAACCGATTGTATTTTCAGTCACCTCGTATACATGCGAAAGCTGGACAATGAATAAGGAAGACCGAAGGAGAATTGATGCCTTTGAATTATGATGTTGGCGAACAATATTGAATATACCATGGACTGCCAGAGGAACGAATTTGTCTTGGAAGAAGTACAGCCAGAGTGCTCCTTAGAAGGGAGGATGAGGAGACTTTGGACATGTTATGCGGAGTGGCCAGCCCCTGGAGAAGGATATTATTTTTGGTAGAGGGTCATCGAATAGGAGGAAGACCTTCAATGAGATGGATTGACCCAGTGGCTGCAACAATGGGCTGAAACATAACAATGATTATGAGGATGATGCAGGACCCAGCAGTTTTTCGTTCCATTGTACATCGGGTTGGGATGAGTCGAAACCTACTTGACGGCACCTAACAACAACAGTCACGGCACAAGATTAGCTGTGATTGTAACGAGATGGAACCAGTGGCTTTCATCCTCACCTGTTCTCTGCTGTCCACAAAGATCTACCCCAGGCAAATGCCTCATAAATGTCCACATTTGTCCATAAGGGGGCAGGAGAAGATCACGTGAAAGGGTTAATAGAGATCCAATACCTTTCATGGGAAACCATCTCAACACAATTGTCCAGTGGAAAATCAAGATATTTGTTTCTTTTAAAACTAAATCATTCAGATTTTATTATGTATAAATTTTAAATGTTGTTGAAGGAAGAAAGTCTTCAAACTTAAACTATAAATTATATACTTTACTTTCAGTCTGCAGAATTAATCTTGGGTACATATGGTACTATAGATTTTAATATTCCGTTGACTCATTAATGGATAATTTTTTCAAGGCTTTACCATGTGCTTCACTTTTCTAATGATGTTCTTGAGGGCATCAGTCCACTGTAGGTGTCTCCTGGGAGACTCAGCCTGTTTGCTCCATGCAAGTCTAGTCGGCTGTTCTGTGTATGCCAAAAGTTTCAGGGAGAGTACTGCCTTCTGCAGCCTTGAACCCTGCCTGATGTGCATGCAAACACTAGGGACACAGCTGACATGTCCTTGTTTGCTTCCCTGCCCAGGCACCGAGACTCACCACCCTGTGGCTCAGCAGGTCTTCCTGCCTCAAAGCTCTTCAGGTGGTCAGGCTGTGACATCCTCTTCCCTCCTGCCAAGGGTAGAACAGAAGGGACCAGAACTCTCTTGGCTTCCTGATTCTGAGCTTCAAAATTAGAACCTCTTGCCAATCCGCCCCCTGCACTTATTCTAGAAATTAATCAGCTGTTACAGCATTTCTATTTTAAATAGTTATAAATCAAGAGTGGGTAGAACCAGAGTTGATTAAGTCTTAGGATCTATGTAAGACACTTGCATTTGTAATCAGTTTTGTACCTTGGATGAAGAAATGTTCCAAGCAAAAACAGACTAAATACAAATACCTAAAACAAATTTGCTTCATGGGATGGAGTGTTCAATATTGTTAAAGTATGTTTTTACTTAGATGTATGGAATTGCTCATGTCCCTTCTTGTGCTAATAGGAAGGCTGAATATAATTCTAATTATAACAGTAAATAAGATTCTGTCCAATTTTGACACTACTTAGGCCTGGTGAGAGGTTGGTGACATCATGGATATTTTCTCAAATGTAATAAGATTGCAAATTCCAATATATCTCAAGTTGCATGGCAAGGCCACTCGTTTGTCCACTGGGACTCAGCCACCTTCATAAACCTTTGATTGTGTCCAAGTGAAATCAATTTCTTGTTGCTGTAATAGATTTCAGGACTGTACCTCTGTCACCTGCTGAAGAAGATCCAGGTTTTAGCAAATCAGTAGGCTTGTGTCCTTCCTATTATCTGACCCAACTCCCTATCAAAACCAAAAACTATACAAAACCCATTGAGATCAAGTTGACTCCAGCTCATAGCAACCCTATAAGAAAGAGTAAAACTGTACCGGTATGGTTTCCAGGCTTTAAATTTACAGAAGCAGACTTCCACATCTTTTTCCCACAGAGCAGCTGGTAGGTTCAACTGCTGACTTTTCAGCTTGCAGCCAAATGCTTAACCACTCAGCCACCAGGGCTCCTTCGTACCACTACTCAGCAACCCATACAAAATGTAAGACTAGGTTTCTTCTTATCAAAGGCCTCTGATATTATAGTTAATGTATAATGAATGGAGCCCTAGTGGCAGAGTGGTTAAGAGCTCAGCTGCTAACCAAAACATCGGCAGTTTGAATCCACCAGCCACTCCTTGGAAACTCTATAGGGCAGTTCTACTCTGTATTACAGGGTCACTATGAGTCGGAATCAACTCAACAGCAACACGTATAGGTATAATGAATATGATAATAAGTTCCTTAGTTCTTTGGGCCTCAGTTTCCTCATCTATAAAAAGAAATGGTGTTATCTAAAGTCACTTCCAAAAATTCTGGGATTATGTTGTACTTTCCAACTACCAGTTAACTACACCAAGCTTTGCCTCTAGAAAATGCAGGCTTGATTTATTTAAACTTAAAAAAAACTTAGCATCTAATAACTATGTTAAAATGTTTTCCTAGACTCATAGAATAGCTAGACTGCTATGAATAGTAGGCGTAGTATACCCACAAGACCCAAAGATATACGGTGATGTTTAACATACAGATTTTTGAGTCTTTAACTGTTGTTATTCTCAGGTACTATCAAGTCTCTTTGACTCATAGCAATTCTAGTATAGTACATGGTCCTGTACCATCCTCACAATCATTGCTTGAGCCCATTGTTGCAGCCACTGTGTCAATCTATCTCATTGAGGGTCTTCCACTTTTTCACTGACTGTCTACTTTACTAAGCGTGATATCCTTCTCCCCGGACTGGTCTCTCCTGACCACATGTCCAAAGTACATAAAACAAGTCTTGCCATCCTCCCTTCTGAGGAGCATTCTGGCTGTATTTTTTCCAAGACAGATTTGTTCGTTCTACTGGCAATCCATGGTATATTTAATATCCTTCACCTACACCATCATTCAAAGGTATCAATTCTTCTTCGGTCTTCCTTATTCATTGTCCAGCTTTTGCATGCATATTAGGTGATAGAAAATATCATGTCTTGGTTCAGGCTCATCTTAGCCCTCAAAGTGATATCTTTGATTTTTAACACTTTAAAGAGAAATTTTGCAACAGATATGTGCAATGCAATGAGTCCTTGGATTTCTTGACTGCTACTTGCATGGGCATTGATTGTGGATCCACGTATAATGAAATCCTTGACAATGTCAACCTTTTCTCCATTTATCATGATGTTGCTTATTGGTCCAGTTGTGAGGATTTTTGTTTTCTTTATGTTCAGGTGCAATCCATATTGAAGGCTATGGTCTTTGCTTTGATCTTCATCAGTAAGTGTTTCAAGCCCTCTTCACTTTCAGAAAGCAATATTGTCAATGAGGGCTCCTCCAA